TGCTTGTTGGTGATTATCCCATCTACCATCATATATGTATACTAATGTTTTTGTGCCTACTTGTACTCTGGTTAATCCTGTTATTCCAATTAATATTGTTCCTATATGAATCTAACTAAAATGTTATTTTCTCAAATACATAATTGCTTCCTTAATTAAATTAAGTGTAACTTCTTTATCGATACAGCTAAATTCATGTTGATTGATGCACTTTATATTACCAGTGGTATTTGTTGATGCACAAAATCGGAGGTCTTGGAACAACATAAATCCGACCGTGAAACTGCAAGAAATGTAAATAACACAAGATGTATCGTGGTTCACCCCAAGGTTTGGGTTACGTCCACACTGATATTGTATTTATGAGGGAGTGAGAGTTTTGAGAGAGCTTAGAGCTTAGGGGATGTGAGGAGGCTTAGGAATTGGCCTCCCTCAATGAGAAGAGTGAGGAGTCTTTTTATAGAATAATGGCTCCTCACTTATTACATATTTGCCCATTCCTTTATTACATATTTACACTTAAGTCTTCCGAGTATTTATACGAGATCTAAATACGGAGGCCCTAAGTATAGTATAACCGTAGTCCCCCAAGTCTTCAGTCAAGAAAGTCTTTTGGCTGGATACTTGAAATTCAGTCCATGTGTGGGCCGAAGTAACTAGATGTCGTCTTGAACTGATACTTGATATGAGGCGGTGCTCAAAGTGAAATGATGCTCAACTAGAAGTAGCACATGTTGCGAGGCTGCTCTGCTTGTGGCTTATGTTGCCTTGGTTGGCTCGGCTTATGGCGTTGAAGGTGAGGGAGTCTCTTTTATAGAATAAGAGCTCGCTCCTCAATACATAAGTGATGGGCTCAGTCCCCCAAGTATTTTTCATGAGGCCCAGTTGAGGTCCAATATATGGTACATAGTGTAGTCCCCCAAGTCTTCGTTCAATAGAGTCTGTTGGCTAGAAACTTCAAATTGAATCCATGTATGGGTCGAAGTGGCGGTTGTTAAGATGCGGTATTTGTATACTTGCACTGAAGCTTTGTAGGTGAAACTTTGCAAGTGAAGCTTTGAAACTGGAGCTTTTGTAAATGAAGCTTTTGAAGCTGGAGCTCTGTAAATGAAGCTTTTGAAGCTAGAGCTCTGTAAATGAAGCTTTTGAAGCTAGAACTCTTGTAAATGAAGCTTTTGAAGCTAAAGCTCTGTAAATGAAACTTTTGAAGCTAGAGCTCTGTAAATGAAGCTTTTGAAGCTGATTGCCATGAGTGATGCTCATGAATGTTTATGTTGATTGACATGAGTGATGCTCATGGATGTTGACATGAGTGATGCTCATGAATGTTGACATGAGTGATGTTCATGAATGTTTATGTATGATTGATATGAGTGACGTTCATGAATGTTTATTTTGATTGACATGAGTAGTGCTCATGTATAATTTAGAAGTACTGGGCGTACTTTTAGTCACCTGGTTGGTGCTATTTTGGGCTTTGCAGTTTTGTTTTTGTTTTTGTTTTTTTTTATTACCCTTTGATGAGTTTATACAGATATCTTCGAAAGATACGAAAAATAAATTACATCATAAAAAAATAAGGAAAGTAAACCACATCATTCTGGTAGGGTGTTTATTCTTTGCTTTTGCTTTATGCTTTTCTTTCTGCTTTTTTTTTATGCTTTTCTTGATCTCCCCGCTCATTCTCTGTCCACCTTGTTTTGTAAGGTATCTTTTGCTTGCAAACCCTTTTGCTTTGGTCGTGCCCATCCATTCTCACTTCTCTTTTCCCTTTTTCTTTTTGCTTTTCTGTTCCCACTGCTTTTCTTTTCTCCTTTTTTCTGCTGCATTGCAAGTTTATAGCACATTTAAACCGCGTGGAGCCCTTTCTGCTACATTGCTGGTTTACAACACATTTAAACCGCGTGGAGCCCCATAATCACGACGGCGATGATCAGCGCCACCAGCACATTTAAACCTATGTGAGTGAATACCAGTGCCACGATAGTGACCAATCCCAACGCAACGGTGACGACCTTGTCGTCGAAACTCTGGTTGAACAGAACGTCGGGGGTGGTGCGGAAGAAGTAGAGGCCAAGTATATCAAGACGTGGATGCACCACTGGTTCGTATTGAAACAGGAGAAGCTGTTCTGGTTCAAAGACAGTTACGGGATGCACTTGTCGACGTCGCGTGATGTGATCCCGGTTGGTACATGCCTGACTGTGAAGGCGTCGATGATGTGGTCCACAAGCCCAGCGCCTTCAAGCTCAGCTAAGCGTCTACGATGCCCAAGTCAAGCAATTGGGGACCTTGGGGTTGGTGGGCTGCCAACACTATTGTCTCCTCGTTTCGTTTCCTTGCTTGTGGGATCTGCACCGTCTCAACAGTTGCACACTTCCTCGGAGCATTTTCAGTCTTGCTTGACTCGACCGGCAAAACCACCAAAACCAGGTGTATATTTGAGCTCATAGTTCATATGAAAGTGCCTAGCCATATACCCATCATCATCAACCCCGTGTGGCAGAACATCAACCACCTCCTCACTCCTGGCCGCCCTCCGCGGTTGCGAATTGAACTCCGTTCGTAGCTAGAATGCTGACTGAAGCCTTGGAAGGGGTGTGGTCTCACCGGTTGAAATAATACCTTGAATTGAGGATTGCAACCGCTGAGATGGTGGAAGGGTTGTGATGATGCAGTTGAGGTGATTTGTGCATCAGCATAAGAATGCCAGTGTAGTTTATTTGTTTAGATCATGGAAAATATCACCATAGCATCTTCCAAATTTCGAGAAGTGTGTTGAAACAAATAAACTTAGGAATGTCATACAAACCAAACCCACTTCCAATATTAGCCATAACGAAATGAGACCGTATGGATCCAGCCATAACCTTCTCGATAACCTCCTTCACCGCAACCTTAGGCGAGAGGTGGAGAGAGAGGTCATAGGCGAGCTTCGGGCGAGCAATGAGCCTTTTTGAAATCATGGAACTTTAAGAAGCAAGCAGCTCGTCTTCTCCGTCATGAATCATCGAGTCTTGGCTTGGAGGCAGCGACCCCGTTTAACTCATCTAGTTTCTCTGCCAAGGCGAGCTCGAGCATCTGCTGCAGTCTCTGTACTGTCCTATGGTTCCGCACGCTCCCTCTCATCACCGCCGTGGCCTTCGTCAGCTCTACCGTCGCAACAAACCTTTTACGCCAAGGCCCGCAAACGAGTTACGAGTCAGCAATTCAGTCTTTGCGAGCTCCTCCATGACTTCACTTTTGTCCCTCGCTGGGAGAGAGAGATGGATGATGGTGGCTTGTTGAGATTTTAGTGAAAAAAGTGATGGTGGCCGGCGGTCGAGTGTAGGAGTCCACTGAGGGTTCCATTGGAGCGCAGAGGGCAGTACTGCGAGGCTACTCTGCTAAATCCAATCGAGCTCCTCCTGGGTCCTGGGTCTTGGAGGCAGTAGTGCATGAGTCTTCCTTCATCTTCTCTCCTCTTGCCGGAGAAGATGATAGGTTTGCTTCTACTTGCTTATCCTTTCACAAATTCCAACCTAGGCCTCTCTCTGTCTTTACACCTAGAACTGATTATATTGTTTAGAGAGAGAGATAGGATAGGAAAGAGAAGAAGTCAGAGACATGAAAAGACACGGTGGTAGCTGTGTTGTTGAGAGAGAGATGGAAAATGGATTTTTGGATGGTTTCTCAAAACTGCAAAGTCTGCGAAGGTTTTCTGTGTTCTTGGGTTTCTACGGATTCATGGCGGAGGTGAAAAAAAATGAAAGAGAACTGATATAACTTTTCGTGTCGATTCCCACAGACGGCGCCAAATGTTGATGCACAAAACCAGAGGTCTTGGAACAACGTAAATCTGATCGTGAAACTGCAAGAAATGTAAATAACACAAGATGTATCGTGGTTCACCCCAAGGTTTGGGCTACGTCCACACTAATATTGTATTTCTGAGGGAGAGAGAGCTCTGAATATGAGAGTGAAAGCTTTGAGAGAGCTTAGAGCTTAGGGGATGTAAGGAGGTTTAGGAATTGACCTCCCTCAATGAGGAGAGTGAGGAGTCCTTTTATAGAATAAGGGCTCTTCACTTATTACATATTTGTCCATTCCTTTATTACATATTTACACTTAAGTCCCCCGAGTATTTATACGATATCTAAATACAGAGACCCTAAGTATGGTATAAACAGTATTCAAAACTATTACCAGTGGTATACCATACCGTACCACTACTATTAATATTATATCATTTATTTATTCATTTATATATATAATTAGATATTATTATCATTATATTTATATATGCACTTTATATTTTTTTTTCTAGTCATTTATCCAATCATCTCACTCTCTAACCTCTACTTTCCCAATAAAAAGACCTAAGCCTTCTTGCGTTGCGACTCTTCATCTTTTCACTCATCTAGCCATCGGCTTCATGTATGTTGCTCCCGTTTTGGCAACTCTCTCTCTCTTCGCAATCCATCTCATCTTTTCCTTCATCAAATTGAGATGTCTTTCTCCCTGACTTCGTCTATCAAGTTAATTTTTGTACAATTTTAAAGAATGTAGAGATGAAATTTATGAATCTTTGTACTATTTATTTAGGGATGTTGGGTTCTTTAAGCAATTCTTCCATCTATTTACTTCTTGTTTCTTAAATGAATCTCTATAAAATTCTCATAATTAAATAAAAAAGTTTTAGAAATCCAAAGACATTGGTCAAAACATGTTTTCTCCTTGAATTGGGTTGAAAAAAAAAAATCAAATTTTGGCCCAAAAAAATGGCTCAAAATAAAATGGTAATTACCATTATCATACCATACCAATCGAATTATTTGACATGCCGAAATTTGGTATCTCAAAAGTTTAGCATAATAATAATAATAGATTTTGTCATACCAAAAAATTGGTATAGGAATTAGTATATGGGTTTTGGTAAGATAATCGTACCAATACCATTCCTAGTTGGAGATAGCCTGGCTGCCTTTCGCGGGCCAACAAAGTATAAAACCTCAACCGTATATCGAACTAGCCTATTCTCCTCTGTCGTCTCTATTCGCTTCCCTCTTCCCCTAACTGATAGGGCTTTTGGGAGCGAGAAGTCATCGGCGCCAAATCCTTCTCAGTATATAGAAGAAGAACATCATGCCGGGGCCCACATTGGAGATGGAACCAGTGGAGCCACAGTCGCTGAAGAAGCTCAGTCTCAAATCCCTCAAACGATCTCTCGATCTCTTCTCCCGGGCCCAAGGCGAGCTCCCCACTCCCGACCCCGAGAGGTACCGCCGTTGCCTTTACTTTCTCTAATTTTTAGGGTTTGTGAAATTATTGAGTTGAATGTAGGTTTTTTTGTTTGAAAATTTGTGCGTTAATTCTTGCTACTCTTTTTGTTTTTGTTTTTTTGTTTTTTGCAGTAAAACAATTCGCACAAGCCATAAGGTTAGTGAAATTATTGAGTTGAAATTGTTAGTATTTTTTTGTGAATTTAAGCTTTGAAGAGTTATTGATTTGAAGAGTGTTGCATTTGAATGAAAATTTTGATTTGAATTATTAGATAAGCATGGAGTATGTAGGAATTCAACCCATGGCTAGCCAAAAACCGCCTCGTTGGGCTGAGTCTGGTGCGCTGGGAAGTGGTTCTGAAGGGCCTTCCAATGCCCTTGCCCTCACAGGTATTATTTGTTCTAATTGAAATTTCTAATAATCAGTTAGAAGTAGGGAAGATTTAGCTTCTTGTTTTAGGGAAGTTAAGTCCCTTTTGGGTATTCTATATTGCAATTGTAACCTGCTAAACTATTTTGTTGGTTTAATACCATGTGTGTCATGAAGATTCTAAGGAAATGCAGACTGGAGGAGCTCAAAACGATTTGGTTGTCAGTCCATCTGCACCAAGGGCACCGTGAGTAGTTTCTTGCTTGCAGGTGCATTAATGGCTGTTTTCGTGTATATTTATATCTCTATGTTGCAATGTTTCAACTTATCCCTCTTCATATATATTTTCCACATTCTCGGACTATGGTTTGCAATTATTAGCTTCTTTTTTCCAAAGTGATTGGGTTAAATATTTGGATCATTGAACAGAATTGTATGAGTGAATTGTCAAAATTAACAGAGTTTTTGTTCTAATGTTGCTGGAATGCAAATTGGTTATTTTGATTTCTTGTACTCATGGTGCCCTTAATTGTGGACTGAATTGTTTAATCATTTTCTTTATTTTCAGGAATACTGTTGGTAATTCGGACAGAGACACTGTAGCTGTTTCTGCTCCAGGGTCATCTCACAGGTTTGAGTTTTGTCCTCCTCTGATTTGCTTTAAATTCAATGTGTACAGCCTGCTCCAGTTTTGTTTTTATTCCAAATGTATTCCATATTAGAGAGCTTTTAGTATTTCATCTAATTAGCGCACTATGAATTTTTGGCTTAGGGTTGGTAAGGAAAACATATAACTTGTTTGGAATGTTTTTTGAAACATAAAGGACCTATTAAAATATTCAAAGAGTTAGATATGTTTTAAGAGTAAAGTATTACATTGGTCATAAATTCCTTTTGATATTGTTGAATTCTCTTTCTTTGCTGTTTTTTTATTCCACTACTTGAAATTTAAGAATGTCCTTACCATTTTGCCTCATCTGCATGCATTACGTGGGGTTGAAGTTGTATTAAATGTATCATATTTTGTGCTTTCATGATGTTATTAGATTGAAGTTTTTATTAGGCTTTTTATGGGACATATAGAGGGATCGAATGTTCTAAAAATTGCAACCTGCATGATGCACTATCCCATCTTGTTGCATTTTTTCAAATCTTGATAATTCTACTAAGGAAAACTTATCCCATTTTTTGCTTTAACTATTACTTTTCTCTTCTATAGGTTTTCAACATCGGCCATGATGGAAAGAATTTCCAGCAGATGGCCATGTCCCGATTGGCATGCTCCTTGGAAGATTTACAGAGTAAGCATAATGCGTTGTTTATGATAGATGGTTAGGTGCAGTGTGGAAAGTGGTTGGGATTATATTGTCTGGGTGACTTGGAGATTCTTCTTAGATGGAAATGAATGGGATCTGACATGGGAGTTTATGTTATATGGGTGCTTCTTTCAATTTTTGTTGTCCTCTGTTTTGCTCTTTCGTGGCTAATGAGTGGATAAGATTGCCCTGCACCTCTTGTATGCTTGAACATGAGTTGTTTACATTTGCTGTTATGCTATTGTATCTTATCCGAAGAAAGGAAATGGTTATGCATAATGTTTCTTATAAGCCATGTTGTTTCATTTGATTATGCAGGTTATTAGCGGTCACTTGGGATGGGTACGATGTATTGCCTTTGACCCAAGTAATAGGTGGTTCTGCACTGGTTCAGCAGACCGCACTATCAAGGTATGTAACTTTATGCTTCATTTGTCTGAGTTGGTCTATTTGAGTTGTTTTCCTTCCCCACTTTCCTTCTATGTTTTCTTCTCTCTAGAAGTTAAATCACTTGCCATTTGTTTTTTTATTTAGTGTTCTCTTTTTCTTATTGTTTGAGTGTTTATTTTATGTTCTTTTGGATTGTGTTCTGATTTTGGTTGATCAGATTTGGGATGTTGCAACTGGAACTCTACAACTGACAGTGACAGGACACATAGAGCAAATACGAGGTTGATTTCTCTTGAATTATTGCTGTTCGTTATGTTTGATTTTGGTTAACCATGCTGTGGTTAATGGTGTTGTTAACAACAAGTGGTTGGGTTTTTGCAGGCCTTGCAGTTAGCAGCAGGCATACCTATATGTTCTCTGCTGGAGATGACAAACTAGTTAAATGCTGGGATCTTGAACAGAATAAGGTTAATACTTTTACTTAATAATTTTCAGATCTTTATTGTAACTGTGTTCTGTAAGTAATGCTGGTTGTTACATCATATAAATTGTTGTATAGGTTATCCATTCATATCATGGTCATTTAAGTGGCGTTTACTGCTTGGCTCTTCATCCGACTCTTGATGTTTTACTTACCGGGGGACGTGATTCTGTATGCCGGGTATGTAATTATCTTCTTGGTAAAATTCAAATCCTGCATAATATAATGGAGGAAGCACTCTTGGGGACTGGGCAAAGGGATTGTTTTAATTTGTATCAGAGTGGTATTGTGGTAATAATACGTTTGGTTTGTTTTTTTTTTTGGTATAAACTTTGGAAGAGATCCTAAGAAAAGACTTAGAGTACTTGGATCTAACGGAGGACATGACACAAAACCAAGCGCAATGGCGTTCTAGGATTCACATAGCCGACCCCACTTAGTGGGAAAAGGCTTTGTTGTTGTTGTTGTTGTATTGTGGTAATAATACCTTTGTTTTGGTGCAATAAAACTTTCAGGTTTGGGATATCCGAAGCAAGACGCAAGTTCATGCATTGTCGGGGCATGACAACACAGTTTGCTCCGTTTTCACTCGACCAACAGTATGAAAAACTCTTTCCTGTTCTCTTTATGGTGTTCTGACTATATTGTGGAGTATCCATGCTGACAACAATTTAGATTCAAGCAATTCATAATAGCTTATTTATTATCGATGTCTTCTTTAGAGATTGGGATTTAGGGTCGCAGTTTTTCTTTTAATTCTTGGTCTCCCCATCTGCCAAAAAATTCAAATGTTTAGCAATTCATATTGGCATCTCGTGAGAATTGTTGTACGTTTATGTTAGGTATCCTTCAGTGCTATATCATTCTTTTAATTTTTTTTAGTCTTGTAATATTTAGTCCTTAGTTCTTGTTTCTTCCCTGTAGCAGTTAATAAGTTGCAGAGAATTGAATTCACTGGCACTTTGAATTTCTACTTCTGCGCTAAACATAATAACTTTGAGTTTTTTTTTCTTCCAGCCACTTCTCATTTTATTGTTAAAATAGGCCATGTTCCTTATGTTACCTTGTCTACTGTGTGCAGGATCCACAAGTTGTCACTGGATCTCACGACACAACAATCAAGTTTTGGGACCTTAGATATGGTAATTTATGTTCTATAAGTAGCTCAAACTCATTTCAGTTTTGGTACTTCCCTCTTTTTTAATAATCAGTTTGCATTTGTTGCAGTAAAAACAATGTCAACTCTGACACACCATAAAAAGTCTGTGCGTGCAATGGCTCAGCATCCTAGAGAGTATGTGCCAATACATGTACTTTGTATTTCATGTGTAGTGAATTATTCCGGTTGTCTTTGTCATTACGCGCCCTTAAATTATATGCTTTGCTCTTTCTAATTGAGTTTGGTTTTTCAGGCATTGTTTTGCATCTGCATCAGCTGATAACATTAAGAAGTTCAACCTCCCAAGAGGCGAATTTTTACACAACATGCTGTGAGTGTTTGAATAGACTGATTCTCTTCATATATTCCTGGAATGATAGATTTGCCATTTGCTCTCCTTTCCTATTGTATGTTTGTGATGTATTCTTTGTTCGAAGAATGACAAGTAATCAATATTAGGATTGATGATTTGCATGTTTGTCTGCTCAAGGCCAGTTAGGTAATGTACTTGTCATGGATAAATAGTTGGCAAATGTGTCTGTTTGTGTGTCGTAAGGTATTGCGCTCCCCTTTTTATGTTCTTTTTTGTGGGGCGCACACATTCCCTTTGTGGCAAGTCAATTAGGCTGCTCAACACACAGGCACCATCACATCAGTCAAGATGCAATGCAAAACTTCTGATCTGCAGAGTAATAGGAAATGTTTAACATTACATTGCTTGCGAGGGATCCATTGAAACTGTAAACTTACACATGGTTCGTTAATTGCACAATTTTGAACCACATAAAGCATATGCTGCAGTGGTTTGTGTCGCTACTTGGATATGTGTATACTTGTTTTCTCATCAGTTGATAAGTTGTGTTATATAATTCCAACTCATGGCTTTAATTGCATATACTTGTAGCAATGCATGCTAAGCTTTATACTCATGCTATTAACATTAAAGTATTTATAGTGCAGCACTTTGAAATTGTATGGATGTGATCTGTCTTGTATATATTTAGAGTTTGGTACCTTTTCCTGACAGACTGAATGTATCGTGAATTGAGTATTTATTTTATTTTATTAATGTGTACTATATCAATATGAATATATCTAGTGATATTTTTTATTATAATGTTCCAAAAATTATTGGTTGTATTTGGGCAGGTCTCAGCAGAAAACCATAATCAATGCAATGGCTGTCAACGAAGATGGGGTTTTGGCCACAGGAGGTATGGATTCTTTACATGTTAAAGGACGATAAGGGGATGATTTTAGTGTGTTCTCCTTTTCTCTTTTCCACAGTTCGGAGAATATATTTATGTGCCTAACAAGGCCTTGACAATCTGGGATAGTCTTTCTTTTGTCAAACAAATGATCCGAAACTTCTTTTATTCCAATTTTCGTCTCATAGAACTTGGTAATTATAATTTTCCCCTGTTTTTTTATTGAAGGCGATAATGGGAGCATGTGGTTTTGGGATTGGAAGAGCGGCCACAATTTTCAGCAATCCCAAACAATTGTACAATCCGGTATGTTTATTTTGTTCATGCGCTGTTATCATTTTATATCTTCTACCCCCTTTCGCAGTTGATTGTAGCAAGAAGGGATGCTAACCCCTAGATATGCTTTTATTACAGGCTCGTTGGATAGTGAAGCTGGTATATATGCGCTTTCATACGATGTCACCGGTACGAGGCTGGTGAGTTGTGAAGCCGATAAGACGATCAAGATGTGGAGGCAAGATGAAAATGCCACTCCGGAAACTCACCCTCTCAACTTTAGGCCCCCTAAGGATATTCGACGGTTCTAGAGGTGATCCTTCGTTGTAGTTGCTCTCTGTTCAGTGACGTGCTTAATTTTATCTCACAAGTGATGGACTATTTAATTGTTTAGCGAGGGCTTGTTACGGTGGTTGTGCTGGTCGTTGCTATGAGATAAACTATGCAAATTTTGATGCGTTATTCCTCATAGGTGAATATATTTCTAACATTCACCCTGAATTAGTTTCAGAGATTTTCTTTTGAGCGATAGAAAATCATGCAATTTATTGTGGACTTTTGTTTTCTGTTCTTTTCAACAGCCTCATGGAGGAGGGGAGAATACGGCTAAACGAAGAGCTCTACGTGGTCCATCCGCAAAACTCGAAGCTACTCGAGATTTGATGCGTTGGAGCCAAGATTAAAACCTTAATTTGGAGACGATTCACATGTTGAGCGACAGCCCACTACCCAAAATAAGACCAAAAGTTTGGAAAATTAAGAAGATAATACTAATTTCTAGACCTCCTAACCATTTTGCATGAATTAGCCCAGCCTACTAAGAAGAAATTAGCCACCCCACTACCCAAAATTCTCCAAAATGGAAGGCCAGTCAACCTCCTCCATGGCTAATGCATTGAAGCTTTCTTCTTACAAAGAAAAGTTAAAAACATACTTAACATCTTTGCAGGAAAGAAGAAATATTAGCCCACCTTTAAAAGGAAATCCTAATTCCGCCCTTTCTCTTAACTAACTGAGATATGTATATCGTTTGCTTCTTCGCGAAGCCTAACCTCAACTTTTCTTCCTCCAATTCATGGTCTAAAATATCCATAATATCCCGATATTTCTATCGAAATTTTCGTGTTTTTGGACTACCGATATTTCTAATATCATCGATATTTTAGACCTTGCTAAGTTACTCATATATCTTACCATGCAATGTATAAAGTGTAAAATGTTGTACTAATTCATTATATATAAATGATTATGGTGTGTTTAAACTTCTTTCATTAATTACTACATATTTTCTACACTCACAATGTTTGCCAGCTCGTTATATAATCAACTTAAATCAGTTATATCTATCATGCAATGTATTTCCTTCCAATTTTTTGTGATAAACTAATAGATAATTGACTAAATAAATATCCTACAAAGTTTCAATAAAAATTTCCAAGTTTTTCTTACAATTTTCGTGGTTTTTATTCAATTTTTATCAATATCGATAATATCCCGATATTTCCATTGAAATTTCCGTATTTTTGGACTACCGATATTTCCGATATCATCGATATTTTATACCTTGCTCCAATTTAACACGTTGTTTTTTCATAATTAGTGAGCTTGTGCATGTGGCAACGCTACATTCTTTCCTATCCTTGAGGGAATAAAAATGTTAGGTTTAGAGCACTTTATTTGGAGTGGACTACAAACCAGCCTTAGATCGTGTCCCGAAGGGCACACTTGGCACTTCCATCTCTGCCACGTGGTGCTCTGTGAATGCATTTAGATGACATGTCTGTATCATTGCTTGAATTTTTGGAGAGATTTTTCAGTGTGCTCGGAACACGGAGTGATACATTACGTGTCATGATACAAATGATGAAATATGTGTGTTAAAAAATTAATAACTTAAAAAAGTAAAATTTTCCACCACTTATATAAAAATACATTGTGTACCATTCGTATTCCGGTCATAATGAAAATTTTCTTTAATTTTTGACCAATTCACAGAAATTAAGACATCAAAACCGCCTGTCCATATACAACACGAATTTTATAGCATGGGGATTGCGGAGGTTAGGATATTAAGAAGAATAATATTAGAAACACCCAATTTATTATTACATAATTTGTAGCGTATTTACGATGGTAACTTCTTTTTGGTGTGAACAAATGAACTCCAAAGTGAGTTTAGACGTGAAATAATCCCAACGTTCTCTTAAGAAAATGTGGTGTGTTTTGTACTATTTTTGAAATGGCTAAAAATATATTTTGATAATTAAAATTGTTTTTATAATTTTGACAAGGGAACATATAAGAGTTTATGAATTATATAAACGAATTTTGAAGATGCACTTAAATTTCACGTAAAAGTTGCTAAATATTTACAGTAAAATTACTTTGTAGAGAAAATATTTATGAGTAGAATTCATTAGTTATTACTTACCTAATTTAAAAAAGCATTATTTATTACCTTACCAAAAGTTAAAAAACTACAATCTAGTTTAGTGGGAAAGTAGGCAAGTAAATCCACACCACCTTATTACCTAAAAAGCCTAAGCCTATATAGATGCACGCTCCAATCACGCGCCTTAGAACGATTATACGGCCAAATTTCATGCATGAATGTCTCCACGTACCGACCACTTCGACCCAAAAAACTCTCTCTCTCTCTCTCTCCGGCTCTCCCTCCCCCCATGCCCCTCCTCTTCTGCCCACCCTTTTCAAATTTTCATCACTCAAAAAACTTCCCCATAAAAAATCTGAGGGAAAATTAGACAGAACCCCAAGTGAAAACTATGGCCAGAAGCTCCGATAATCCGTCGTTAGTTCAGAGAACCCATCACAATCAACAAAATGACGACCTATCACAACCCGTTCTCGAACCGCAAACCAATCACACTTCCTCCGCCAACCCCATTCGCTACGTGCTCCGCGAGCAGCGCTTTATCTTCGTCTTCATCGGCATCGCCATCGCCGTTTTCTACTTCACCACCTTCCCGGTACCAAACCCACAATTAGAGTCCGCACAGAACTCAGGTTTTGAATCCGGGTCGAGTTTTGCCGGGCAGGGTATTGATCTGCCGGCCAACCCGGCCCGGAGAGTGCTGTTGGAGACGCGGAATGTGGGCGGGAAGGTGCCGCTGGGGGTGAAGAAGAAGAACATGAGGATTGTTGTGACGGGTGGGGCCGGGTTCGTGGGGAGCCACCTCGTGGACCGTCTGATCGCGAGAGGGGACAGCGTGATCGTGCTTGATAATTTTTTCACTGGGAGGAAGGAGAATTTGGTGCACCACTTCGGGAACCCGAAGTTCGAGCTGATTCGACACGACGTCGTCGAGCCGATTCTGCTGGAAGTTGACCAGATCTACCACCTCGCTTGCCCGGCATCCCCTGTGCATTACAAGTTCAATCCGGTCAAGACAATTATATCCTTTCTCTGCTTTCTATTTTTATTTTTTGTGTGTTTATATGCATGTTGGTTATTATATGCTTTATTTGGGATAAGTATGAGTTTGTTTGGAATGTTTGAAAGCACTTTTGAAGAAAATATTTTTGGATCTAAAAAACATGTAATTCTGAAAAAGCATTTTATCGTTTTATACAAGAAGCACATAAACACTTTTAAGTGTTTTTGAAATTTAAAAAAAAAAACAGTTAAAAGCAATTCCAAACAATCCCTATAATATTATGATAAAGTTTACACATAATTTTTTTTATTTGTAGACTAGCTTAAAATATACAATTGTATTGTTTGTATAAATGGAGTTAGGAAAAAGAGTATTCAAATTTAGTATGAAAAAAATGTAACTCTTCTTTACACTCTAAAATAATCTTTTTACATTCACTCTTCTTTTATTTTTTTTCCTTGTAAAGAAAATGTATCAAAATAAATGATTTTTAAATGTTGGAATTTTTATCACTAAAGTGTATTTTTATCTAATTCCTTGTAACAAAAAGAACTACACCACAAATAAAAAAATACCTAAAATTTATTTGATTATTTAGGCATAAAAATTGAGTGCATGTTTAATATTTTCACATATAAAATAGGTATTTTCTTTTTTTGTAGTAAAAAAAGTACTTGTAATAGTAGATACTATACATATAACGAAAATCACATAGATATTTTGAAGGAAAAAAGATAAATATGGTGTGCATGTGGTATTGCTTGGGGTCCTTAATTTGTTGTGTGAGTTGAGGCTTCACAAGACGAATGTGGTGGGAACACTGAACATGCTTGGACTGGCAAAAAGGGTTGGCGCACGCTTCTTGCTCACAAGCACCAGTGAGGTTTATGGTGACCCTTTGCAGCACCCTCAGGTCGAGTCCTACTGGGGCAATGTCAACCCCATCGGTGAGTCACTCTCCCACTCTCTTATGTCTCCCCTCGACCCCGACATGATGGAACTCTGCGCGAGAATATCAAACTTCACCACATTTACCAATCACATTGGCAGGTGTAAGGAGCTGCTACGATGAGGGAAAACGCACAGCAGAGACTCTGACCATGGACTACCACAGAGGGCTTGGCATTGAGGTCACCTTAATTTTCTCCGATACTAATAATCTTTTCCATGTCATTTACATTATACGTGCTTCGGTTTCAAATGATTCCAGATCAAACTCAAAATTGAGACGAATATTATAACAGTTGCAGTTAGGGTTCTAATGTATAGAATGTGTTGCAGGTGAGGATTGCTCGGATTTTCAATACTTATGGACCGCGTATGTGCATTGATGATGGCCGGGTTGTTAGCAATTTTGTAGCTCAGGTGAGGAATTTTGTAGTTTTTCTTTTGGTACTTCTGGCCTGCCACATAATAATTCCTGCAAGTTTGATGTGTATGGAATACACAGGCATTAAGGAAGGAGCCATTGACAGTTTATGGAGATGGCAAGCAAACCAGAAGTTTCCAATACGTTTCTGACTTGGTACTATATTTCTTCTCCTTTATTCCTATGTTGTATGAATTTCCAATTATTAACTTACATAAATCATGTCTTTGTCTAAATTAGCATTTAGGTCAATGTTGTTTTGAGGTGAAAGTTGTTTGAATATCTGTGTCCTCTCTTAGTTATGATCTGATACAGGAGAAAAACTTCGGTAGAGTTATCTGATTAGGGTAGCTTTTAAACCAAATGGGATTAGCTTGAGGTCGAATGAGATCAAAATATATAAGGTCACATAGTTTTGTGAAAGTTAATTGTCAAGTGACCTGGTCGACACTCTACTTTTATCATGTTAGAGGCCACCACCAGGCTAATGTTTGAATGCAATATTCTCGGACATTGTACAAGAAAACAATGTAGTGTCAACTAAGAATTTAAAATGCTTATGGTAGCAACATAAAGCATATCATTTCTCTTGATTGATTCAAACTATCAAACTGAAATTTACTGAACAATTTGTGTTGTGCATTGCTTCTGTTGAATTAGGTAGAGGGTCTAATGCGGCTGATGGAAGGAAATCATGTGGGACCTTTCAACCTTGGCAACCCTGGCGAATTCACCATGCTAGAGCTTGCTCAGGTAAAATCAATCAACCCCATTAACTGCACAAACAAACAATTCACAACTTGAGGTCCCGAGTTTGAATTCCTGCTCCCTTACTCTTGCTTGTATGTGCAGGTTGTGCAAGACACAATAGATCCAAATGCAAAAATAGAGTTCAGACCCAACACAGAAGACGACCCACACAAGAGGAAGCCGGACATTTCGAAGGCGAAAGAGCTTCTGGGGTGGGAGCCCACCGTGTCCCTCCGCAAGGGGCTGCCGCTCATGGTTAACGACTTCCGGCAGCGTATTTTTGGTGACTCCAAGGTCAATGATGCGGGCTCCGCTATGTAATATTTTTGCATGAGATTTTTTACGTATGTTTGAAGAAAAAAAGAAGAAAAAAAAGAAGATATAGTTGTGGAAAATAAAGTTAGAATAAAATTGAGTTTCTGATCAATATTTATATGTACTTGGTGTTTCTTGGTTAATTACTCTTTATATGGCAATGGAAGATTATTGTGAGAATTGTATAGGGATCAATTTTTATATATTACAGAGTTTTGGTCTTTGCCAGATTCCAATAATTGTCTTGTTAATTTAGTGTATTTCTTTTTTAATTAAGTGTTCTTATTTTTGTACCCGCTCTGCGTCGCACTAACATGCTATTAAAATTTGTTAATATATGTCTAATGAAATATATATTGTTATCTGAAAAGGTTAAAATCAATTGTTCTTTCCCCCGAGTCTAGTGCTCAAATCCCTTCTTCTTCAACTTGTACAAAAACAACATCTAAACGAAAATGAGCTACTATTAAATCTTTGAGTTTAAACAACAAATATAATATGGTCATACATAACATTTTTTTTTTATATACAACGATATTAGGGTGAGAAATTGAGTTAGGCCGCACGTATCAAACAGAAATCTCAGCTCCTCTAATTTTTTAAAGTGGCTTTAACGAATTTTTTTATTGGTTTTATTGCCTTTTTAATTATCTATTTACCAAAAATAAAAAATAAAAATTGTCCGATGGGGCTTGGACAGACTTGGGCCCTGTTTGGGGTTGAGGTGATTTTAAAAAAAGCCACTGTGAAAAAAAGCTGAGGGTCATTTTTGTGTTTGGTAAACTGAAAAAAAATGGCTTATTTTGGAAGCTGCTGTGAGAATAAGCTGAAAATCAAAGGAAAAGCTGAAGCTGCTATTTGCTGCTTTTAAAAAAAGCCAGTTTTTTCAAAGCACACGGAGCTACAGTGCTCCTTTAATGAAAAGACACACTATCATCCTGATTTTTTTTCCAAAAGCACTTTCACAAAAAAGTTTACCAAACACTCTACTGGCTTTATTTCACAGCCGCTTATTCTCACAGCACAGCCGCTTATTCTCACAGCAGCTTTTTTTCAAAGCACAGCAATACCAAACCAGCCTTGGAGAAGAAGTATATGAAATATTGGGCCTGAGCCACGAGGAAAGGAACCACCAAACAACCGTCAAATTACGAAAACACCCTCAGTTGCCATTTGCGAACATAAAGATGCAGCGAAACACTATCCCTAGAAGGTAGCAGCGAATTCCCCTTAAACCTGCTCTCTCTCTCCAGCTCAACAGAAAACCTCGCTCACTCCCGTCGTCTTGCCCTAATCGCATCGTCCAGGTCTGTACCAATCTCTCTCTCTCTCTCTCTCTCTCTCTCTCTACAGCCACTGGTATTTCATTTGTATTTTTTAATTTTTAATTTTTATTTTCTTGTGAGATTTTCAAGCTGTTTGATACGAGTGTGTTATTGTTTGAGTTGCTGTATTTTATTATCAATTTGTTGTTTGTCTGGTGTAAAAGAGGAGCATTTTTACTTTTTGGAGATTTTAGGGTTTTGGCATCTTGGGTTTTACTGTTGGCCGCCGTCAATGAATTTCATTTCGGTGGAAATTAGGGTTTTATTCTTCTTTTTTGTTGTTTTACTGGTCATTTTATAGAAAATGTTTTTTTGGTCGAAATTTAGGATGTGGACATGGAATTTTCTTCTGAAATGAATGTTTCTAGTCTAATTTTTCATTTATCTTTTCGTCTTCGTTGTTGATAGGATTTTATTCATAATCTTGTTCATGGTAAATTTGAAGTGGTGTTGCACTAAATGCCTCTATGGTTTTGCAGCAAATACTATTACTTGTGTACTATTGTCCGTTTTCAACCGAGTCTTAATGTTAATCAACAATTTGGGTAATTGATGCAGTCTTTCACAGTTTTGATTTCGTCACTTTTGATACCACCCAGTTGCTAGCTGTTTACTTTCAAGTAACTGTCAAAATGTCGAGGAAAGGTTTGATGGAGCAAGACCTGAGTAAACTGGATGTAACAAAGTTGCATCCACTCTCGCCTGAAGTTATATCTCGTCAGGCGACTATCAATATTGGTAATCTTCATTCTGATGTTCAGACTGCTCTGGGATTATTATGGCCATTCTTATATTGATTTGACCATCATTGGTTTGTTGGTACGGGGTCCTAATTTTTGTGCTTGCTTCAATTTATGCGAGTTGTTTTTCAGGTACTATTGGTCATGTGGCTCATGGAAAGTCAACAGTTGTAAAAGCAATTTCTGGTGTTCAGGTGATTAGTTGTTTCCATTTTGCATTTGATACTGCTCGCATCTTTTCTGTTTATTTCTGTGTGGACATTGTAAAGACAAGCAAGCCTGTGTTTCCACTCACGAGGGTGTAAAAAAGTTGTATCCAGTTATGGCTGCTTGTTCTCTTTGAGCTACGAATGCACACTCACTGCCAAGGAAAATATATTAGGAAATATTTTTCTAGGACACTAATGAATTATATTTACGGAATGAGAGAATTTAGGATGTTGAGCATTTTCATATTTCTACAGCTCACTAACAAAAGTGGCTAATCGTATCAGATGGCTACGAATCATATACCTTTTATTCTTGGTGAATGTATGTTTACTCTTAAGCGGAGCATTGAAAATGGAAGCTGTCTTATAGTATGGACTATATTCTCCAGGATGATAGTCTGTAAATTATGAGAAAAGAGGGATAAATGTAATCTTACCCTATAGGTTTGATAGTTTGGTTGCTATCAAAATAAATTTAATAGTGTCTTTGGTTATGTAAACGGTGGATATAGACCGAGCTTCAATTCTTCTTTCATTTCACTGTTGCTAAGTTACTTTATATACCAAAACCTTAAGCTATTGGGTAAGGGCCTATAGTGTATTACATTGGTCCAACATTGCATGCACCATGTACAATAACTGGTTTGTTGGTTTGAGCTATATTTCTCAAATTATGTGTTGTGAACATTTAAGCTTGGATATTCCATTGCAAGTTTATATTTTTAAGACATAAAAAATCAAACATTAATGATATGCAGACTGTTCGTTTTAAAAATGAGCTGGAGCGCAACATTACTATCAAGCTTGGATATGCCAATGCAAAGATATATATATGTGAAGACGAGCGCTGCCCTCGACCGATGGCTTACAAGTAGGCATCCAGTTAATATAATTGTCTTTTATCACATTCGACCCTTTTTGTTAATGCATATTCATTTCTTTATTAGGGCATATGGAAGTGGAAAGGAAGATGCTCCTCTCTGTGATGTTCCTGGATTTGAGAACTGCAGGATGAAATTGTTGAGACATGTGTCTTTTGTAGATTGCCCGGTAAGGCTTTGTGTTGTATTGTTTGTACCATTTTCTATATGCCATAATATTTATGACTACACTAAATTGTTGGGAATAAATGGTGGTGTGTACCTGGTCGTCCTTGCTTGATAAAAGCTTCTGATAGTCTGATACTTTGTCGTGATCATATATATATATTGTCTCGGCATATTTTTTGTTTGTTATACCCATGGATGACATTTTATTTAGTAGCATTGAAGTTGGATTTTTCCTATGGGTTCTTGCAACATTATTAGTTGCAAGAGGGTTTCTCTATTAATGATTGTCATATTTCACATTCTATGTCTTGTCCAAATTATTTCGTGGTTTATCTTGATTTGATTTTGTTATGTTTCTTCAAAAGTTATTCTTTTTTTATAGGGTCACGATATTCTTATGGCTACTATGCTTAATGGTGCCGCAATTATGGACGGAGCATTACTTCTCATTGCTGCTAATGAAAGCTGTCCCCAACCACAAACTTCTGAGCATCTGGCTGCTGTTGAAATTATGCGTCTTCAACATATTATCATTCTTCAGAATAAAGTTGATCTCATTCAGGAGAATGTGGCCATTAACCAACATGAGGCAATCAGGAAGTTTATTCAGGTAAGTTCCTTTGGAGCTTTTTTTCCCATCTGTTTTATAGGTTTCAGTTCATTAATCGTTAAGCATTTTGTGTACCAGGGAACTGTAGCTGATAATGCACCAGTGGTGCCAATTTCTGCTCAGTTGAAGTATAATATTGACGTCGTGTGTGAATACATTGTAAAAAAGATCCCCATTCCAGAAAGGAACTTTATCTCACCTCCCAATATGATTGTTATCCGTTCTTTTGACGTCAATAAACCTGGGTACGAGGTTGATGAGATTAGAGGTGGAGTGGCTGGTGGAAGTATCCTCAGGGTATGTCTTCTAATGTCGTATTTTGTCGAAAGCGTAGACAATGTTTGATTATTCCCATTTGGTGTCAACTCATGGTATTTGTGGTTTCTTTTTTCTTTTTTCTAATTTTAGTCCTGCTTTGTCATTCAATGTTAGAAGTTTTGGGTCGTGAAAATGTGAACACATGCTCTTGATTTGGATCTAATAATTTGTGGAATTTGGGAAGGTTTCTTAAGTAGTTAGTTCCCTAAATGCTTAATGAATAACGTATTTTACAATGTGGTCGTGGCAGGGTGTTCTGAAAGTCAACCAATTTATTGAGGTTCGTCCTGGGATTGTTGTTAAAGACGAGAGTGGAAATATCAAGTGCACGCCAATATATTCTAGAATTGTTTCATTGTATGCTGAGCAAAATGAGTTGCAATTTGCGGTGCCAGGAGGTCTTATTGGTGTTGGAACAACCATGGATCCCACTTTGACACGTGCTGATAGGTTAGTGGGTCAAGTTCTTGGTGAAGTTGGGTCACTCCCTGAAGTATTTGTTGAGCTTGAGGTAAGCAATACTGCTGTAGTACTTTATATTATGCTAATTGGTTGAACTGTTAAAGCTTGACGGGATGCTGTTTCTAAGAAAATGGCTAACTTTTTTGTGTGCGTGTGCACGCGCACAAGTGCTCCTTTTACAAACAATCGTAGAGGAATTGTGTGTTTTTGTTGTTGACAGTGCATTTTGTTTTACATTTGAGGATGTGACATGGCTTCTAACTGTACTCTCTTCTTTATTCTTTATCCATCTTTTTAGTATGTTTATTTTTCTGAGTTATTTTGTTTCTTCTTTCTCATCCCGAACGAGACAAATCTTGAAAACCTTGGTGTAGATGAAGATTGTGGTATATTTTACAGGTCAACTTCTTCTTGTTGAGAAGGCTTCTGGGGGTCAGGACAAAGGGGTCTGAGAAGCAGGGAAAGGTCTCAAAGCTGGTCAAGGGCGAGATCCTCATGTTGAATATAGGATCCATGTCTACAGGGGCTAGGGTTCTTGCTGTAAGGAACGATTTGGCAAAGTTGCAACTCACGTCTCCAGTTTGCACCAGCAAAGGAGAGAAAATTGCCCTCAGTCGACGTGTTGAGAAGCATTGGCGTCTTATTGGCTGGGGTCAGATTCAAGCTGGAACAACCCTTGATGTCCCACCATGCCCAATTTGAGTTGACACTGAAAATTGGTAAGACAGAAGAAAGCAAGAAAACTAGTAAGACAGCTAAAGAATAGGCAAGATGTGGAAAGTCAGAAAATTATTGGGAACCATTTTTGTCAGATGGAAGAGAAAACATCGTTTGGTGGATCGTTGTCGTTTTTGTTTTGTTTCTTTGATTTTTGATGCAGTTACACTTTCATCTGCATTCGTATTCTTCGACTTTTGGGCACGAGTCATTCCAACAGATGAAGGAATGATAGACAGTTACGTTGACTCTTCCAGAGGATATTGCGTTCTTAAATTTATAAGCAGTTTGAGTTTGTTTTTGAACCCTTGTAGAATTTGGCGATCGCCAGCATCTTTAGGAGGGTTTGGTTTCAAGTTAGGGTTTGCTGGGCATATACGTTTGTAGTTATTCATCTGGATGCCATTGAACCCGTGTCTCGTGTCTCGAGCATTTTTAGCTCGTTGAACATCTCAGATACAGAAACATGTTAGGAAACATGGGGAAGGGGGAAATTGAACTACGCACCTCGGGTGCCAAGGGTGAATGCCTTTAGCCGATTGAGCTACAGGCTCCTTACATTACATTACATTACCTTATACATGTTGTGTTTGGTCCTTTGAGCTTTAAACACTAAAGTTGCATATACTCTCTCAGTTTGGAACCTCCATGGGATATGAATGGATTATTTCTCTCCACACGTTTGCACTCTCAGCTCCCACATCGGAAACACACTTCCACACCGCGCTGTTACACTTGAAGCCGCTCCCGAACCCAATTTGCCACACCCGATCGCCCTTCTTCATCCTTCCTTTCGCTTCTATGTAACTCAGCTCGTACCATATCGATGAAGACGATGTGTTTCCATATCTGTACAGGGCCATCTTTGAGGCCTCGACGTCTTCTTTTCTCAGCCCCAGGTTTTTCTCTATTCCTTGTATAACCGCTCTCCCCCCAGCATGTATGCAGAAATGCTCGAAAGCTTTCTTAAAATCCGGTACGTGAATCTTCCTCCTCCCACTCCATACCTTTCGGCTGAGTATCGAAACCCCATATCGAAACTGCTCCGAAAGTGGCAAAACCAATGGCCCCAGAGCACCAATGTTTGCTTTCAATGCATCTCCGGCAACATGGAGTATGTTCTTTGATATCGAAATCCCCTGTTTGTTCTCGGGATCTATATCCTGGAACACACAGGCATGAGACTGATCATCTTGTGCATTGTTTGTTCTGACAAGATGCTGCAGCTCATACTTTGCCCTGCTCTTGTCTTGATTCCGACTGGACATCAACACGGCCGCTCCTCCCATCCGAAACAAACAATTAGTCAGCAACATGGACGGTACTTTTCCGGTGTACCAATTCAGATGCAATCCCTCAGTGCTGACAATCAAAGCCAATGAGTTCTCGTGAACCCTCAGCAAGTCCTTGGCTAGACCAACTGCAATAAGTCCGGCGCTGCATCCCATCCCGGATAAGTGGAAGCTTCTGATGTTGTTTCTCATTCCGAACTTGTTGATGATCAAAGTGCTGAGAGACGGTGTGGGACAAAACAAGCTGCTGTTAGAAATCAGAACATCAATTTCTCTAGGGTTTATGTTGTGCTTGTTGAACAAGTCTGAAACTGCACCAAACATCACTGCTTTGACCTCTTCCAACGCAAATTGGAGTGATTTCTTGATAGGCAAGCAAGCGAGAGACGGAGGAATGCTAGTCTCCTCGCTGAACCCGGATTTCTCAAGGATCTTGATTTGGAATGCTGCGCTCTCAGGGTCTGTGCCGTCCAGAAGGACGTTCTCTAGGAACATGGACGTCGTCAGCCTATAAGATTTTGGTGGCTGGTAACAGCTAAAGTCTACCAAATAAATTCTTGGCTCTCTCTTGCGGAGAAGATACATGAGAACAAGGCCTGCAATCGCCGCCATCATATAACATGCAGTGGCGGGTTCGACGAGGTCAGGGAAAACATGAACGTATTCCTGGATCCTAGCCATGGATGATGGATGATGGATGATGGCAGAGTTTAGTGAGATATTTTCATGGCACATATAAGCAGCTGGTGCATGATAAGCAGATGGAAAGTCCAGTGGGAAAAGTAACAGGAAGATGGAACGTGGAGAGGTAGGGCACCTGCAGTGTCGAGTCCATTTGGTCTTAAGACAATAACTGTATCTTCAACTAACTTGGAATCATCCCAATCCTGTTTTCCAAGAAAGAGTGACGGCAGTTTTGGGATAACACAATCATGGACGGAGCCATAAATATTCTTTTGTGGCGCAACATTAAATTAAAATTTTGATATAATGCTATTAACTTATCTTTCAACAACATAATTTTGAGCAACTGGTGTTTAGAACGGTAAAACTAAACCATTAGCTAATGAAAAAATTACGTGGCTCGGAAGGGTGAGAGGATAGGAAGAGTATAGAACGTGAGAGGGTATTTTGAGTTGAGTGTTTGGACTGAGACTTCATCTCTCAGTATATAGGTAATTTATAATTTTAGTTGGAGCATTTTTCATGACAAAAAGAGTTGAGTGGGGACAGTTGCCACCAGTGGGCATATGCTGCCTCCGTCCATGAACACAATCAATTTCTTTCCAAAGCATGTGGTTAATTAAGACAATCAATCCTTGCATCTGAGGTTTCATGTTCAAGTCTCACAACTCTTTCTATTAACCATATATATAATAAAAGTTAGAAGGAAAAACTAGTATTCGGTCCTTAGTTTCTAATGTTTATTGACTAAGATCTTATCAGTTTTTAGATTTAATCAAAGTCTCTAACATTAATATATTAATGAATTACATGTAAGTTACATATTTTTTATAATAAAAATTAGTAATTGATTTAGAGTTTTAATACTCATACCCTTATTAAACTCCTAATTAATTTTCAATTCAAACATTTCCAAAATATAAAAAATAAAATTAGAATAAGTTTGTACCCATTAAGTTTTTTATGAAAAATTTTCAATTTTTTAATCTTATATATACCCATTCTTAAGTATACCAATTTGTTAGATGAAAAATGTATCATTTTTTTAGGACATTTTGGATGCGGTCCCTAACTACCAATGTTCTTTGACTAAAACCTTCGTGGTTTTTAGTTTTTGATCGAAGTCTCTGACATTAATGTAATAATGTATTTCTATGTAGGTTATTATATTTTTAAATTAAAAATGAAATTTGTAGTTATTTATATTAATGAGATTTTAAATAAAACGCATAATTTATGAGATTAAAATATTAATGATGAATTATACTCTCCAATATATATATTGTGTGTGTGTGTACACACACATGGGTACGTTCATCAAAACTAACCAAAAAATTGTTGTACTAAAACATGGGTACATTTTTCAAAAAAAAAAAAAATTAGGCTTAATAACATTATTAAATTTCTTCTATTAAACTGGACATGGATACATTCTCAAATAAATGAAATAGAATGTACCCATATAAGTATAAAAAAAATGGATTAGAGAAAAGATTGAATGAATTTTACATAAAAAAATGGGTACATTTTATATTAAAAAAGGATAGATTAGGTTCTCATCTCTCATTTTTCATTCTCATTAATTGAAACCTTATTCTTTTTTCATTTGTGATCAAGGTCCCTTGACTTTTCTTCATGTCATTATTTGAATATTAAATTATTTAAAGTCATTATATGTTAATTTAAAAATGAAAAATTATTAATCATTTTCAAATATAATATTTTTAGTATTTTTTTCATATATTTCTATTTATAATTTGTATCCTCTTTTTAATTTATACCAATATTTTTAGTTTTAATTTGTACACATAATTTTGAATTTTAATATGTACCCATATTTTCAATTTAGTTTGTACCCATAGTTTTGAATTTTAACATGTACCCATATTTTTTATTTAATTTGTGCCAATATTTTTTTTATGAACGTACCCATGATAATTATATGTGTTTATTGTGACAACCCGTCCCTAATTTTACGTTTTTATTAATTTTAAATGAGTGAATTGACAAAAATGCCCTTAAAGGCAAGGGTGTCGACTTTTGTTGACCACTGTATTGGGAGATGTAGGAAACATTCTTTTAGTGTATCCTCGTAGTGCTTGTCACTACGAATGCGTGAGCGTAACGGAACGTAATTTGGAGTTTTAACGAATGAGTTATTAACGTTTAAAGTCGGGTGCATTTTAGTAAATTTAACCTTCACTCTAGAAGGCTCCAAATTTTCTGGAGTAATTTGATTGAACCACATGGACAGTTGTGATAAAGAATGGAGAAGAGGAAGGAGAGAGAGAGACGGATGAGAGGAGGAAGAAAAGAGAGATGGGGGAAGGGATTGCCCAATCAAGAAAGGAGAACAGGGAGGGAAATGAGGGAGAAGAGAGAAAATGAGGAATCGGCCAAACCGGACCCCCTTCGACCAGTGATCCGACCCGGAGGAACCCATGATTCCTGATGCCTTTCACGATGATTTTTCCAGTGAATTAAAGCTACTCACCCTTTGGAATCGACCTAGCATCCTACCTTCTTCCATTTCCACTAAAAAAACCAACGGAAATTGGCTTGGAAATTGTGCAAAGTGAATTGGGTCTCATGGCGGCGATCCGCCATTCCTGAAGCAAAGTCCGTCAACCACCACCCCTATTAGACTCTCCTTGAGCCTAGGAACAAATCCCAAACAACCTTGGAGGCAGCAGAGCACCGGAGAAGTCGAATCGAAGACCACCCTTTTTAAGGTTTCCGACGAGTTCAAGACGAATTGAGGATTTTCCTAGCCAAATTGGACTTGGCCACAGGTGTGACATCCCACATCGCCCAGGGGAGTGATCCTTAAATATATATTCCTATTCCTACCTAGCACGAGGCCTTTGGGAGCTCACTGGCTTCGAGTTCCGAAGAAACTCCGAAATTAAGCGAGAAGGAGGCCAAAGCACTCCTAGAATGGGTGACCCACTGGGAAGTTGCTTGTGAGTTCTCAAAAACAAAACCGTGAAGGAATGGTAAGCCCAAAGTGGACAATATCGTGCTACGGTGGTGGAACGGGCTCGAGATGTGGTGGACAATATTTGTGAGTTCTCAAAAATAAAACGTTTCACTTTTTTAATATCTGTTTAGTTCGAAATATCATCGCAGTTGCGTTCTCTGAAAATCATTCTCCAGTTGAGTTAGAAGAGGTATCACCTTATTCCCAAGCCACCAGTTCAATACTTGGACCTGAAAATTTAGAATCTATTACAAACGCATTATTATTTACCGTCTAAAAATTAGCCAATTGAAAAAACTTGCGCTTTCTAAACTTCTATCATTCACCATATTATTTCTAATTTCCATTTTTTTTTTTTACAAATGATATTATCTACACTAAAGATGAGGGGTGGGCTTAATCTCACAATATGCTATCAATAATGTGGTTTAAATTCACATTTGGTGAAAATCTAACCTAAAACCTCTCACTTATCAGTGAAAATGAATATCACTAAATTGTAGTACTAAGTGACTTCTGATCTTCATCTTTAAAAACTCTGAAAATTAAAAGAAAAAAAAAACTGGAAGGTGGGGACCATTGAAATTAATTAAAAGTATATTATAATAATTGTCAAAGGATCATCATAAATAACAGAAATTAAATAATTGGAGTGTAAGTCCAAAATCCAAATAGTGCTGGGGATTCTCTAAAATGAGCCACTCCGATATTTGTACGTATCCATCTATTTAGACCTTACAGCTCCTCCAAACCCCAATCAAACATGTGTGCATGTGACATCTGAAACTCACAACACATACAATACTTTTTTAACTCTTTCATTTGCCATAACTTAACGGTCCAAATTTCATCAAAAGATGGTCAACATGGTCAACATCTGCATTTGTTTTGCCAATTGATATTACAGTCTATTGATATTTATCTTTAATTGTAAGTGAAAGGTATTAGATTTGATTCTCGTAAAAGACAAATTTAACTATATTATTGCTAGTTCACTCTCTCATCCTCATTAATATAGATAATATCGTTTGTTAAAAAAACAATCAGCATTTGCTCTCCCCCCTCCATCACTTCACTATGGTGCAACACTCACCTGTATTTTCCTCATGGAATCAATTCCTTCAATATTCATCTTTCTTTTTATAGAGAGAATAAATATAAATGAATTGTGATTTTTACACCCTGTAATTCTTCTTGGACTTATTCATTAAAAGTTGAGAAGAAGAGAGAAGTGTCGGGAAAAAAATGAGAGTCTGAAAATTACTTTTTTATTGGATTATTAAGAAGGGAAGATTCGACCACATGACCTCAGACCGACAATTAAACGCAATGTGTTACAAGTCCCTTGCCAAAAGATTGGTGTACAACAGGCCACACAGACCTTCGAAAGCAGTAGTAAATTGTTTTAACCGACCGAGCTACAAACTCCTAACACAATAGTAATGTAAAATCTCCAAATGTGAGGGTGATATATTTTAGTGATGGAGCTCCAAGCTCCTTGTACAATATTGAATATTGAAGTACAATTCGACGGATAACTTGTGTGTTCATGAGTGAATGCTTTTAACTAACTGAGTCCTGACCGTCTCGCATAATATTGCACAATATTGCTTATATGACAAAATAATGTCTACAAAGAAAAATGAAACGATGTAAGAGACCAAGACAATGTGTTACATTTACTAATGGAATGGCAATCAACCAACCAACCAACAAATTAAGCCAAAATAAACACAGGGAGCCGCTAATAGAGTAATTAATAATAAACAAGTAGTAAATTAAGTAATTAATTAGCAAAGTTTAATTTAATGTGTATTATGCTGATGATGATAATCGACTTCTGACTGATAGCAAGGAAGGAATCGCATTCAAGTTTGGAGCTGTGTTCTTATCTGAAGCTTGTCTAATTATCTCCCTCTTCCCATCTTTCGAAGAAGGTTTGCTGAATGCTCTCATCGGACTCGCAAACGCCCACCCCCAGCTCCGGCTCCGGACGTGGACGAGCGGCCCTTCGGCG